CGTGCCAAGTTAGGTCTTTCTCAAAAGGGTTTCAAAATCTGAACTTTTACTTTGCTTTGGAAGGGGAAAAGGGGAGAGGAAAAAAGATATCTGTCCCTTGTTGGTCAGGACGTGCGATGTGCTAGTTGTGCTGTCCTGTGCTCCCCGCAAGCCCCGAGAACGTGTCCCTGCGCCCGAGGCCACGTCCAAGTTTGGAGATGAATTGCAAACCTAGGCTCCGAGAGTGGCTCTCTCTGCTGCACAGAGTCATCCAGGAGGCCCTGATTGCAGGTGCTGGAAGGGGGAGGATACAGCAGGATGTAGGGTGGGTGCAGGAAAGGACTGTCAAAGAGCAATGTGGATGGCTGCTATCTGCAAGAACATTTTAATGACCTGGTCATTTCTGAGGCATCCGCTCGCCACCCTCCTACACACGCTGCAAGCCTGGGAACCAGAGCCACGCTGCAGAAAGTCACAGACGCCGGCCTTTGTCCCAGAGCAGATGTGCGAGGCTGCCCCAGCCTGGGGGAAAGTGGAGCCATGCCCTCGACTAGGAGCATCCAAACCTCACAGGGGTGGAAAAGGTGGCTGGATCTTGGAGCTTTGGAGGCAAGCTACCTCTCCAAGTGACCTCTCTCTTGTCACAGAGCAAGACGTTGGCAAAGGAGGTAACACAGACCAAAACCTCCCAACTCAGGACTGCAGCACATGGGTGCTCAGCAGAGCCCCCCTGGACGCAAGCAAGACGAGGCTTTCATGATGCTGGTGGAAAGGACTGCGCTAGCTAAAGCTCATCTTTCTTTTCCAGGGGACAGAGTGGAGCTGGGTCAAGGGGCAGCGGGACTCAAGTGGTCACTTCTAGTCTAGGGAGCTGCTTCTCTTCAAGCAGGGGCTGCATAACCCCCCATACCGAGAAGCAGCGATGAGGCTCGTGCATGCAGTTATGTGCTGAAGGCTTCTCTAAAAACCTGTCAGGAGCCCACATCACCGGGGCCCGCTCTCCTCCTCTGCCTGACAGGTACACTTCAAAAGTGTCGCTCCACTGAATCCCCAGACAGGAGCTGTCTGCAGTGGCGCCGTGGAGCTGCTGGCGATCAGCTTTCAACACGGCTGCATCCTCCACAGGGCTCCTTGCATCTTTCCACCCGCCCTTACGCGCCACCGCTCCCGTGCAGACGCACGCGGAGCACGGCCGTGGTCGGAGAGCAGGCTGGAGCGTGGGGCCAGCTCCGTTTAAGGAGCCACCCAACTCCTCTTCCAGGGTGGGAAAGCACATTTCTTTCCTGCAAGAAATTCTGACTTTTCAGACAAAAAAAAAAATCATCATCCAAAAGCAGGAGGAAGAAAACAAGAATATTTTCGGGGAAATCCCCCACTCTCGCGTATCAGGAATACCGAGACACGCTGTTTCTGAGACACAATATGCTCCTCGGGGTCCCCAGCAGCTGCTGTCTGAAATGACACCGTTCTCCTTTGTTTTGTGGCTTCCTGGACGCTCCCTGGAGCATCTCCGATGATACGCATCGGCCAGCGGCTGTCAGGCCTCCCAGGTTCCCTGGTGCCAGGACAGTTCCCCCAAGCTGACTTGTTGTCTGGTGTGAGACCCCAGATCCAGTCTGCTTCATTTTCAGAGCCTGCTTGTGGGAGCTGTTCTCACGCCATGATGCCGAGAGACCTGCCTATACTAGTCGGAGACCGGTGACCCTCCAAGTCCACGTACCTTCTGCCTGGGGCAGAGCAGCAATTGCACCAAACAGTATCACCACGCTAGGGAGATGCGTGCGATATCAGACTTGTGCATCCTGTCCTCGCCACTCCCATCTTGTCCTCCTCTCCTCCGCACCCATCAGAAACCCAGTGCGACGGATGGATGTGCCAGAGCAGCATGGAAACCAGGGTCTGACCGGCATCAGCCTTTAGGATCTGGGGCTACAAGGCTCTGCCCCTTGGGGCTTGGGGAGGAGGCGAGGGGGCGGGAGGAGGATGTCTAGCCACTTCTGTGCCCCACGCATCAGACCTGCAGATGAGGCAGTGAGGCCCCCCATGTCATTGCTCTCAAAATCTCAGTGTTGCACAATGCTCGAGAGCAGCAGCAGCTGCAGCACTGGGGCTTCGCTGCTTCATTTCCGAGTCTAACGCAGGCTCAAGGACCCACTGAGGTGCCTCTGTGCTTCCGCAGCGATGCACAAGAAAACCCATTAGAAGCAAAAAAAAATTCCCTCCCCGACTGCTGTGAAGTGTTGCCTTAAGGCCCGGCTCCTACCATGCATCCAGCCGCCTTCGCCAGCTTGTGAGAGGAGAAGGGGAAGGCCTCGTTGCTCAGATCTGTGTCCAGCAGCTCCTGAAGGACCGTGCGGCTGCAGAAAGAGCAAAGGGGGAAAACGATGTTAGTCACTACATCGCTCGCCAGCGGCCATCCCAGTCACGCTGGCGGTCCTGCCGTGGGCGCGGGCTGACGTGTAGCCTCCGGGCAGCCTGGCAAGGACACGCTGTGCTGCTCCTCTACCTGGATGTTTCTCACCTCTGTATTTTTGGCTCAGCAGGACAGGTGCTACCACCTCTGCTCTATTATTGCTAAGACCCACCCCGCAGCCCCCTTGCATCCCCACCACCAAAATGCAGAGGGGTCTAGAGGAATGAAAGCATTTTCTCCCCTCTGACATTGCACTCCCTGGGTCCTTGTTGGTTGTAACTCAGGGAGGAAGTGTGGTTTTATTTCTGTGTGGCGGTCTGGTGATGCAGGGGATGGCCCTACAACCCACATCATCTTCTCAAGTCACCTTGGCCAATAGGCTAAAGCACCAAAATGCTTTGAAAGTGGGGGTTTTGTGCCTCAGCTCGCTTGTAGAACAAGGCGTTACCCAAAAAACCCAAATCTTGTGACGTGTGGGGAATATTTGGACACTGCAGAGACCGGGGCGGGCAGGTACTCAGGTTGATGCAAAAGGCTGTTACCGCTGGAGAAGGGGAAGAGGACTCAGGCCTGGGGCAGATGTCTTCCCACCCCTGCATGACACTGGGTAGACACTTCCCCTCCCTTCTTATTCCTTGGCAAAGCAGCTCCAAAAAGTGGGTTGGTGACTTGCAGTCTGGGATCCCTGGACGAAGGGCTCTGGACAACGGCATGGTATTTTTCCAGCCTAACGCAGGATCCCGGTCTGAGGATCCCCGCCAGGCTCCCACACAGCCGTGACTTTGGGGACACCGCCTCCTACCCCAATCCCCGCTCTGCTTGCAAGGCCGGGGAGACGTTAAGATTGATGGGAGCTGAGACTCCTCCTGACCTGTGGCTTTTCTCTACTTGGACTGGAGCTGCAAAGAAACCTGATGGTTAAACCAAAGTGACCCAGTGAACAGGTCTGGCCACGGCTTTGCAATGACCCTGGCCCAGTGAACTGGCTACTGCCTCCAGCCAGGCCAGCTCCTCCTCATACGCTCTGGGGCTGATGCATTATCAGTAGCCGACATAGTGCTGCAGGGTACATTTAAGTAATCTTTCCATCTATCCATCGCAGCTCTGCGAAGGGATGCAGGGGAAAAAGAGGACTTCCTCCCTGCCCCTACCTCCCCTGAGCTGAGACAGTCCTCTCTGCCCGAGCTGCAGAGAGGCAGGAGCAGGCAGGGAGGGAGAGGGGAGCTGGGCGGCACTAACTAGAGTCAAGACATTTACTCCTCAGCTGTGTCTTCTTCACCTGCCTCTTGCTGGGGATTAACCCACCCTGTGAATTAATTCATTAAGCGAGTCTGGTTGGTTGCACACCCTCTTAATGGCAAGAGCTGTCAGGCTGGGGAAGAGTCTCCCCAAGGCAAACAGAGACTTTAGGAGCAAGCCAGGCAATGCACGGGAAGGAAACAGTCTTGTTGCAGTGGCTGGGTGGTTAAGTTAGTGTTTCTTGACCTTTTAAGTACCCCCTAACTTCTGAAAATTTTAATAAGTACCCCAACACTCAATTTTCCAGGGGATTTTATATTTCCAGACTAATGTGTGCCATATGTTGGAAGAAGGGCTATGTATATAAGGCCGTGATATGACAGATGTCTGATCTGGTGTGGGTAGGATTGCCACCTTCTACACCAGGGGTGCACAACTCAGGTATGGACGTGGGCTAGAGGCGATGTTGCCCAAAGCTAGGAGGGCTGAACCCAGGGCCACACAAAGCACGGCACACCAAATTATTACCGGGGAATTAGATTTTTTAAATTGCACCACATTTTTTGCCATAGTTTTGAAAGGAAAAGGGGGCAAGAGAGTGTTGGGGTACCCGTGTACCCCCTGCCTGTGTCTCGTACACATACCACAGGTTGAGAAACTATGGGCTAGGTGATCTGGGGGAAATACGTATCAGAAGGGACCACTTATGATCATCTCCTCTGCTCTCCGTCATAACGCAGGTCAAAGGATGACATGCCCTAATCCCTGCAGCTGCTCTCTGTTTCCTTCCTCCAACCTGCTCAGAGCAGGCCCTGAACACTGAAGCTTCATCCCCACCCCGAAGCCTGGAAAGTTCAACAACGGAGCTTGATTCAACCCAAAGGGAACAGGGAGTTCATTTCCATTGGAAACATGCAACCCACTCTCCTCCGAACCACGGCAGGAGGCCTCCACCCACAACACAAGCCTGCAAAGGCTCGCCCTGGCTAATGGTGAGCTCATGGCAATGACAGCGGCTATTTCAATGGCTTCAATAAAACCAATGAAAGCACTCACAGGGGATGGAAGTACGGGATGGACTGGATCCAGGGTCCTTGCTTTCAAGGTATGGCACAGGGATCTGCACCTCTTGGATACTGTATTGTCTAATTCCTGATGAAGGGAGTAGGAGAAGGAAGGGTCCTGACTCCTCTTCCCAGCACAGCCCCCATTGCACCGCTCAGCTCAGTGGCGAGGGCTAAGCTGGCTCCCAGGATCACAGAGACTTTCCCCTCAATCTCCTCTAAATCAGCCTTCATCAGCGGCTGGATAAATGCCAGCCCCTTTCCGGCCTTGAATCGGTCCTAACGAATGCTGGCTTGTCACATATGACAGATACAAGCATAAAGGCTGCTGTGACACCGCAGAGAGGAACTGCGAGTCTCCGGCACATTAGAGCCCTGCCAATGCTTTTCAGGACCTGCAGGCTGTCTCCAGCTCCTGCCAATTCTCCGTGCTGCGCTATTCAGACTGAAACTTGCCTTCCCAGCTCTATAAATAGTGTGTTTGCTCTCGGGCCCGAAGCTCTGTGTGGGATGGGGGCGAAAAAATGAATAAAGGTGCCTCGCGGCCACATTTGGATCCCAACCACCACAGGGCAAGAAGTTGGTGGAGTTGCTCCCAGTGTGCACCACCCAGTGACAGCAGTCTGGCCTGAATTTGGATGCCAGTAAAAGAGCAATAGACCTAGTCTCTTGGAAAAGAGTGCAAAATTGGGCATCCTCCCTGCAGGGTACGTCTGTGCTGCTCCGGCGGCAGTCTTGAGAACGCCATTAAAATGCGTGCCCACTGCCCTGCACCTGCCCTGCATGCGCCAGGCCTGGAAACAAGGCTGTGGAGATGTTTTGGGAGCAATGCACTCAAACTCTCTGTCTCCAGTATGCGCGGGAGAGGAAGCCAATGGTGGCCCTGGTGCACCGGGTGTGGGTAGGGCATCAGAGAAGCCATATAGATGCTGCCCCATGGGCTGAGGTTGGGAAAAAGCAGCACCAGGCCTACTCCATGCAGCCCAGGTAAAGCCGGCCAGCAAGGCTCCTTGGCCCAAGGTCCATTCTGCCCTCATACCTACCCCCAGATGCTGTCAGCAAAGGGGCAATGTCAAGAGGTGGGGAATGATGGAGGTTTCGTGCTATAAACAGGAAAGGATGGGAGTGTGGCCCAGCTAGGGATAAGGGGGATTCAGGCCAGAGCTGTGTCCCTGGGGTCTGCATCAAACTCTTCCCATAGTGTAGGCTTGCTGCCCAACATGAAGACGCTTGCATGGTGCACCTCAAAGACAGATCACAGCATGCCAGGAGCTGGGTCTGGACCTGATCTGGATGCAGGGGATTCTGATTTCATTTTAAACAGTAACACACTGCTGCTCAGCCCCCAGCAAGCAGCTCAGAGGTTAGCAAAGTGGGCAGGTACGCAAGGGTCAGTGCCTGCCGAGTGGAGCGTCACTGAGAGCCGTGCACCAGGCAGTCTAAATATTTGATGCTTCGCGGTGTGGTTCAGCAGCAAAAATAGCGCAGAGGAGCAAGGTGATGGGAGGAAAGGCAGGTGTCTGGAGAGCTCTGCTGAGATCCTTTTGCTCCAGCGCCGGGCGCCGCGTTCGCTGAATGCCCGGAGAGGCTCCAGCTAGCACCAGGGGTGGGGGGAGCTGATCTCCCTGGAAAAGTGTCACGCGGCCTGCCTGCTCCTTAAGGCCATGCCCCTTCCCAGCACATGGGACAAGTCCCTTCACAAAACCCCTGCTCTGGCTGTGCTCTTGCGTGTCCCCGAGCATGCAGGCATGTCCCACTTAGCCCATCCCCTTTGCTGGACGCAGGCTCCTGGCGCTGCATAGACACACGCTGAGGCTGCACAGATCCATCCCCTCTTCTGTTGCCCTGCGCCAGGGGCAGGAATAACGACCTGAACCTGGGCCAGCAGCATGCACAGGCCTTTGAAAGGGCTCAGAGCTGTCTGAATCCTGCTGCGTAAACCATAATCTGGCCCTCATCAGTCATCCTCTGCATCCTCAACAACGTAAGGACCAGAAGACGGGCGCTCTAAATGCATGTCCTCCCCCCGTGCCATTAAACGCTCCCTTTGCAGGGGACCCCTGCCTCTCCTCCTGCCTCATGGCACTTACCTCAAGGGGCCCTGGATGCTGATCATTCCCAGCTCCTCCGAGCAGTCCAGCAGCTTGCACTTGAACTTCATGTCCTGCAGCACCGTCATGATGTGTGACCAGTTGTGCTGCGCGACCGCCCCACCAACAGCCAGGTAGTAGCCATCCCCTGCAAGAAACACCACCAGGCTTTTAGCCCTGAAGAGCTCATGCAGGAGGAGAAAGCAGAGAGGAGGCTTTCTCAGCAGCTCGGGGCCTTGGATCCTACCCGGCACTGCTTTCCCGAGCAATGAATACATTCATTCATTAAACCTCAACATTTAAACAAAGCTTTAAACCCTACCCCTCCTTTTTTTTCCCCCCCCTTTTAATCATACCGACTTCACCCAAGGGAGACAGGTCTCCACGCAAAACTCTGCAGCGTGCAGACCTATGTCAGGGAGGGCATAACAAGCCTGTTGGCAAAAACCCTCAAGTCTGAAGATAGCTGTGCCAGCAGGCCAGGGCTTCGGTCATGGATGGGGGATGTGATGTAACTATGATGTCAGAACCCCGCTTCTGCTGGCCCATGCTGCATTTCTGGTCGGGGGGGCTCTGTCAATAGACCTATCTTGACACATCAATGGTGGCAGCAGCTGCTTAAGTCTGTACTCCCCACTCCAGGTACATTTACACCCCTGCAACATGGTAATGCAGTCAGAAGGACGGTATTGCATGAACCTTCTTGGCAGAGGTGCCAATGGGAGGTGCCTGGCACAGAGCAGCAGGAGGATCAGGCCCCTTCTGCCTCTAGAAAATGACTTCTCTGACACTCAAATCACCCAGCTTTTCCCCTTGGGGTGATTACTGTGGTGTTACGCAAGCAAGCACTTTCCTCTGACTTGGCTGCAACAGGCTGACTTCGGTTGCGTGCCTTCGAGTTGCCTCCTGCATGCATCTCCTTGCCTCCTACAAGGGATCTGCTGATTTCCCAAAGCACCCGCTCATACTCTGCAAATCTTCCCCAAGAGGCATCCCATCCGCTTCAGCAAAGATGCCTGTTCCTTGGGGCTTGCAATACTGGGCAGCTCCTCATGGCAAATGCCTAGAGCCCTGGAGAATTTTTCCAGCTATTTGAGTTGGTCTAATAAAAGATATCAGATTCACCCAAAAAGCCCTGGAAACAGTCTGCACTATCTTTTAGCAAAGATCCTGGGCAGCTACCACGCTCTTAGCCAGTTGGCCTTCCTGCAAAGTGAAGGACCCTGACCTGGAGGACTTTGGTGATGCTGAACCTGGAAGCCAGAGCAATTTATGGACAACTGTATGCCTGATATCCACTCACTGGATGCACTGACAGATTCCCCTGTGGACTTGCAGAAATGTTCTAGGTGGAAAAAGG